TTGTAGCGATCGAAAGCAAAAACAAGGATATGGTATTGGAAAATGAATCGAAAGATCTCGTTAACACACGTCGGACCAACGACCCAGCCTATGAGTCAGTCGTTTAGCAATGCACGGGTCGAAACAGAAGTACGTGAAAAAAAGGTATCGGCAGCTACTGAAGATCAGAATTTGTCCAATTTCGCTGCTGAGAAATAGTTCTGTAATTACGTGTTGGTCTTCGATGTGTTAACATCATGTTCCCCCCCCCCCCTCCCCCCTAAAAAAAAAAGAAGAAATAGAAGGAAGAAATACAAATTCATGCGCATAGAATCGCACGTCGCGCTGCCTCCCGATGTTAAACCGATGAAACTATCGTAGAAACTGCGCAGTTGGCGGGTTAAGATGGACACTAGATCGCGTCGAATGAATTCAACGACACACGAGAAAGTTAACAGGTGCACGTAATATACGCTCGACACGCTGGGAAATCGTCTAAAAAAAAAAAATATATATAAAAGAAACAACGACAACAGCACGACGACAAACACTATGGCTCCGTCCTCCTAACGCGTTTGCGACATCGAGTCTCGCTGAACGCGTATAAACCCATACGAAAACATCTGTCCACGCTCGAAAGGATCCAAGTCGCTCGAGATTAACGCGTTAAAAGGACAACGACTTTTTTTCCGCTATTTTGTTTCATTTTTTTTCTTCCTTAGATACGTTACAGAACATTTAGAAAGTTACGCGTGTCTTATCGGTGTGTCGTGTGTCGGGTGCTAGGTGGGTGGTTTCGGAGTGCGTTAACGGGTCGGAACACGTTGTGCCTAAGACGACTAAATTGCATAACGCGAATAACGGGCGAACCGGTGGCCACGTTGCATCCATCAATTCGTGGCAACGCGAGGCGTCCCCGTGCCCTCTGTTCGTCCTTGCGCGCGGCACAGAGTCGGGACGAATTTTATTCGGACACCCGACAACCCCGCGGAACCAACGCGCAGCAATATTTCTCGTAACGGTTCACTCCATCGAACAGTTAAAATTTGATTCGTTCCAAATGTAAAATTTGATAAATTGCCGTGCACGCGATAAAGTCTAACGTTTCCTTTCCGCGATGAAAAAAGAAAATCGTAAACCTTTCCACTTCGTAATTCTATTTCCGATCGTCGAGTCGATGCACGAAACATTGAAATAACCGTCGACCGCGGAAGGTTAAACGTTGCCACTTCGCGGGAACATCGATGACACCGGCGCACGCTAGCTCGTGAGAACGAGACCGACCGAATATAATTTCGCGTCGTGTCTATCGTGGACGATCGCAGCGAGACGGTCTCGGAGCGTTACTTCCCGGAATCGGAATGTTGAATTCCAACAGTTGCCCACATCGAGCCTGAAGCGATAATCCGATTACACGGTCGAGGAATCTTTCGCGAGGATAAATATGTTATCCTCACCCGGCGACCAAACTTTTTTCCGTGCGTTTAATATTTTTTTTTTCTTTCGTTGGCGCGAAACGTTGACGATCGCGAGTCGCGAGGAGCGTAAATTGCGATTCCAACGGGGGCACGATCGCATTTAAAAACTACTATAATTGCATCGTTGGCAGATGCGCGCGCACGCATCTCTAGAGCTAGGTCTTACGTTCCATTTAAACCATGAACTTATTATCAACAACGAGATATTCACTTTGGGCCCGGTTACGTTTGTTTCCATTTTCTTTTCTGCTCCCCCATCCCCCTATCCCTCATTTCGTGTGTGGTACGCGATTGTTGTTTCCCTATTCGTGGAAGATATTTCTCGGCGGAATTCGTTCCGTCTTATCTCGCGATTCAACGATAAAAAATAGCTTGCTCGCGTATTGACTACCCCAGCCCTTAAACTTATATACACCTAACGCTGTTTTGGTAATATCTTTATAATAATATTGTTACGTATCGATCGAGGTGTGCGCGGTCTTCGGAATATCGTTCTCCGCCCGTGTGTCCTTCGATGTGTCAGCCAGATTATTCCGAAACAAAATTGCCACACGTGCCGTGCGTTTATCTGTATCCCTTATCGAGGCTGTATCGAAAACAAAATGTTACCGGTGAGGCAAACGCGACTAATTTCGTCGCTTTTAATTTGTTCGACTTGTTCGTTTGCAACAGTCACAAAAGTTTTGTATAAAGTTTAACATTAGATTTACGGGCATTATTATTTATTGATACCTTTCATGTTGACGATTACCTTACAATACGATTTTTCTTTTAAGTAGAATAATGTATTCTAAAATTCAACGTAAGTTGTTAAAAAATAATATTTACGCGTCCTGCAATTTTAAATATGGAATCAGACATCAGGCTTCCGTAAATCTAGTGTTAACAGAGACTTGTACCGTCGAATATGAACATCCACGAAAAAAGCCAGCGCAGTGAACGCGTTAAGGCCACCGGAGGTGTTATTCCCACTGTATCGCCATTGTATCTCTCGCTGGCGCGCGCTCTCAGTCCCCCAAAAACAGAGAGGCAAGCTGGCACAAAAGTAAAACAACACTTGTCTCGATAACGGATGAAAACAGATCCATAGCACGTACGATCTTTTTTTTTTTTGTAGTTCGAAATAACCTTGCCGAGCACGCAGAAAAAGTTTCGTCACTCACTGCGCAGGACAACCTCTATAGCAATCACACACGGCGGTAATAAAAAAAAATCGAGAACGTATCAACGTCGCAAGAATTACCCGCGTTGATTTTTCTATTCTTTTTTTACGTTAAATCGAGTCTGCGCGTCGCCGTTTGCAATTATTACATTTCTACGCGTTCGAATCGATATATTCATTTTCCCTATCCGTAAAAGATATCTTTTTGTTCTCGCCTCGTTAAGTTTCCATCAACGCGGAATCATCGTTACCAATTCAAGTTTATTTACCGCCACGTTTCACGCCCGCCCCTTTCGATTGGAATGGATTATACACGTACTTGTAAATTATATATAGATAGATAGATATAATATGTATATATAAAAAAAAAACTGAAGAAGAACATTGCTGGTGCTGTGTCTCTGAACGCGTTTACAATCCCATAAACAAAAACGAATCAACGAACGAGTCAACATCGAACCGAACGCTTCTTTTTTTTTTTTGTTTGCGCGAGTGTTTTGTTCATTCGTGATGCCAGTTCTTCGTTCTATTTCGTACTTAAACCGTGTAAAATATTTTTCTTTTCTCGTTTTTAGGAACTTATAAATACTACTCGTGGCGTACGACGTCCTGACACTAATCCTGAGGTCACGTGGGTCTGTCGAATTCGCGTCTTCGTATACGATCGAAAGGAACACGTATCATCGATCGAATAGATCATTGGATTCCCACATTTTTCTTCCATTTACAATCTGCTTGTTCTTTCAACCACGCTCTGATGACCATTCTTTGCTCGAAATCATTTACTCAAGGTACTGGATTAATCGTAGCGGCGTTACGACGTTTCGTAAACACACCCGGCAAGATTACTGCAACGTAACCTCTGTTTCACGCGGTTTCGTGTGGAATGTCGGAAATTCACTTAAGCAACGTTCGAGTTTAAAATGTATAGTCCCCCGATCGTTAAACAGTGACGTAACTTTGTAAAGCGACCGCTCGTTGAAACGGATTTTCACGGTTGCATCCTTCCGTTAGGATCGCAAACATAGTATAAGCGTTCGTTCATCGAAACCCACGAAAATCAAGCGTCGATCGAACAAGGATGTCAAGACGGTACCCACTACAATAGTTAGACCGGGCTATCTCGTCGAAAGACTGTCTCCATCTGTCGTCGATTAGTCACACGCACGACGAACATTTACGCACGATAGATCTAAAAGCGCATCTAAACGTTTCATAGGAATTGCAAGTCTCCCGCATCATTTTCCTAATACATACACAGGGTTCCGTCTTTTTCACTTCTCCCCTCTCCCCCTCTGTTTCGTAGTTTTTTTTTTCTTTCGTTAAACGCACGCTTGTTCTCTTACGCCATCATCTCTCGAGCACCCATTCTAAGATTTTACATTTTTTTATCACAGATGTTTTGTTCTCGATTTATCGACGCCCCTAATACCTATACGGCCCGTTTCGATAACATTAAATCAGGGACATTTGTCATTAGTCTTTTTTTTTTCCCTGTTCCTCCATAAACGTTCTTCGTTTAGAGCATTTTCTCTCCGGTGTTTGTTCACCTCGCTATGCCGACGCGATATCACGATCACAGCTCTCGTCTTGCCGTCGCGCGCAAGAATTTACACGATTCACACTAAGGCCTGCCTTAGTACAAAAATATACATTCGCTTCTTAAAAAATAGATCTTAGCATTCTGTACTGGCTACCGTTCGTTTGATATTTTACAGTATTTTGATTCTTGGCAGGCTGGCTTAAAGGTTAGTTATTAATCGGCTACGAGAACCGCCGTCGAGCGAGCTTTTTTTTGTTTTCGTAACGGGGGCGTTTATCCGATCTAAACACTAGCTGACGCACCATCCCTTCCTTTTTTTTTTTTTTTTTTTTTTTAGAAAACGACGCGCATATTCATAAAATTGGCGTTCCGCGTGGCTCGATCGGAGGCGAATCGACGAGGGCCGCGAGCTAAGACGGAAAGCTGAATACGGTAATGAAAGGAGACCGTTTAAAGATGGGCCAACTATATCGAGACAAGCGCTATCGATGGTACATCGATGGGGAACAACAACGATTCGGTTTTCGACGATTACGCGAACGATGCTTTCCGTTTAGTCGACATAGTCCTTTTCTTTATGAATATGAGGTCGGACGTGGCAACGTGCAGCCCGCCTAACCTGTTTTCTTTTTTTTTGTATACCATAATCGGCAGGTAATATTATCGCGTTTATCGATATTACACGTGTAGTAGTTGGGTTGTGCCCTTACGGTTAAGCGGTGGCTGCACGAGTTGCCTCTCTTCTACGACTTTGTACAGAGGATTCGCAGAGATGGTACTACGTATCACCTGATTACCTGTTTTTTTTTCTTTTTTGTTGTGTTCTTTTTTTTTTTTCATTACTCACCGGATATTATTTTCGTTATATATCCGAACGCATATCATTTTTCTCGTTTTAATTTCGTTCTCTCTCATACGCTATCGTTTTTCGCAACGTCATATATGTTCTTTCACACTTACTCTCTCTTTCGCTCTTTAGATTCACACGCCGGGCACCGTGCCCGCGAGTATACTGCTTACGCGGGACTTCGTTCAACAGAGAAAAAAAGAAACACGCACGAAGAGAAATAATTTAAAAAAAAAAAAAAAAAAAAAAACAATCTCCCCCCACTGTTCTTAGTAAATAAAGTCTGGCTCGTTCCGCACAGCGTTAATGGTCAGCGAACAACAAAGTGGGTCACGATCGCATTTGTTCGCGAGGATTCGTAGCATCGAATAAACAACGGGTTACGTTCGTTAAGAATTTTTTTTTTTGTTCTCCTGACCCCCTAAACAATACACGCGCACGGTATACGAAATGAAAGGGCACGAGCATACCTTAACTAGTTGATTATTTTTTGGCGATACACCGGGCGAATCGCCGAAAAAATATCCATTAAGGTGACTACGATTATTTTCTTATGGTGGCTGTCGCGTGTCAGATTTGTTCGATAAATTTACTCTCACCGCGACTCAGGTACATATTAAGGCCCGTTCATCTTGTATAGCGGCAATAGAATCGTTTAAAAAAGAAATAGTCTTCCTCGCGTTTGTGCCTAGCTCTCAATCGAACCTCGTATTATCTGTTTTCTCTCTCTCTCTCGTTCGAACAAACGTCTATTATATTACTTCGCTCGCTCTTCATCCTCTTCCCTGTTTTTTTCATTTAAATTCGGGTGCGCAACTCCGCGATTTTTGCGCGTGTCCAATACTTCTTTTTTTTTTTTATCCTTTTCTTCGTTCAACGCACGAATGTATGTACAGAAACCACATATATATATAAAAAAAGAAAACAATGGTATACGTGACTACAAGTACGATACACGACGATGTAATTAATTAATTATACAAGAGCTCGAGGAAAATAATGTAAAGAACTCCTCGGAATAATAAACTGTTTACGGTGGTGGTTTTGTTGCTGTTCTTGTTTTGGTATTTCTTCTTTGTGTTATGGATCATTTTTAAACGTTCGAAATCGTCATTATTAATCGCACGACAGAAATAGATGCGCTCGGCATCCAAATATTAACGTTTAAAGTTCGATAGATAATACAGATATACATACATATACACATACACGATTAGCAGCTAATTCCCTCTGATTTCTTTATAGATAACTATATTTGTGTTCGTTTCCAGCGGTCGCTAAGAGCACGGTGAAGAGGACGGTACTCGGAGGTCGTACAGGTCTCAAAGAATCACAATATTTCCTCCTAACGCGAGATACGGAGCTCTTTATATTAAAACTGACTTACGTACCACCCAAATCAACCGCACTCTTCTCGGCACACATTCATTTAATATTTGTACAAAAGCGTCCGATTGGTTTTGGTATTAAAAATAACCTCGGAACGCTGTTACGACTTCATACTGAGTGCATTATTCGTTATATCTGCGCAACTCGATTAAATTCTTTCGCGAAGTCTTCACCATTTTTAGTTACTCATTCTTACACTGCATTCTCTTGGCGCTCGCTTGATCTAAATTCCCATAGAATTGGAAAAATATCTGTTAACATGTTTCTACTTACATACGTTTGGAATTTCGTTACGCTTTCCAGTGGAACATCGTGAGATCGGCCCCTTTCTTCTTTTTCTTCTAGTCTCACTCTTCATTTTATTCTTTTATTTTTTTTTTCTTGGTACGATGATCGCCTCTCATTGTAGCGCATATTGCCTTAATTTCTTTCAATATTCACTTTTCCTGCGATATTAACAGGTGTACGTCACGCGTAAGGTCTGTTTAGGAAGACCCTGATCGTCTTGCGATGCTTATTAATTCTTAGTATCTACCAAGAATATTGTTATATTTTTATATAATATATATACGTTTCTTTTTTTTTCTTTCTAATATTCATTGGTGAGAGGAACGATTATTAATAAGTATATTGTTCTTAAGCTGACCATTTCAAGATCACCACTGTTTGCCAATAGACTCCGTTAAAAAAGGCTTCTCGTGAAAAGCCATCGTAAATCGTTTCGTTCTCCGTTTCGATAGACGAGGAAATCATCTCATTAGCAGAGGTAATTCATACTTAATTTGGGTACCCCCATCACGGACTCAAGAAAGACATAGTCAATTATGGCTTATCACGTTCTTAAGTGAACTGATAAAATCATTGTAAAGCAGGAGAACTTGTGTGCGTTTTTACCCTCGCTATTTACACATTGGAACTGTGTGATTCTTACCTGACAGCGTTAACCATTTAGTTATTGATTTTTAGTTTACGAAGTTTTACACACGTTCACTGTTTGATGTATCATTCATAGTTCCCGTAAAAAACAAATCTTATAGAAAAATAAAGGATATAACTTCGTAACTTTACTTCTGAGAATGTAGCTCGCCCAGAAATTGTTGGAGATGTCGGTGAATGATACTGGGGAGTAATATTTTCTTGGTGTGCATTCAAAAATTACTTTTGGTCACGAAGGACCAATGGCATAATCACGTCTCTGCTGTCACCTTTAAATGAATTCTTTACAACCGCAGGTAAATCTGCATCTCTTAAAGGTTCCCACCGATAACCCATTATCTCTTGTATTTCCTATGTACATAAAATTGAACGAAATATATGTACAAAATAATGCAAGTAGTTACACGATATACAACTCATAAGTATCAAAAGTATTAAATATGAAAGCTTACATGTGTGATACTTTCAGCCTTGTGCCAAGATTCATTGTAGGATGCAATGTCTCTTTGTGCAAACACTAATGACTTAAGGGTGCATCCTCGTAGACGTGCAATAGCTAACAAGTTTTCTTGGTAGTATTTGTGGCCTATGAATACAATTTCCACAAGTTTGGTACACTTCCATGCAATAAATACTAATGGATCAGGGCTGCAGTGAAATAATAAATATGCCAGTTAATGGAAAAATTGAAGATCGCGATGTAACGCAAAATAATTCAACTTGCCTGTCGGGTTCGGTTGGATCGCAGGTTGCTGGCAAGGTTCGTCTAGGATCGCAAGTTGCTGGCAAGGTACGCGTAGGATCCATCGAGTCGATCCATATCAAAGACTTTAAACTAAGGTGATACCACCTGGATAATAAAAGCAACGCTCTGATGTTAACATCCTCACAGAATAACACTTTTAAGTGCGTAAGAGGCATGGAACGACGAAGTATATCCGAGTGCAACATGTCAATGCCAACATAGGAGTGTATAAGATTTAATCGTAGCTCACATTTTGGACTAAAATTAAATCACCCTTTAATTTACTTCCTTGTAACGAAGATAACAAAATAAATTACGCTGCTACTTACTTTTTTTGAACAAAAACTTGCCAAGCATTGTCGGTTGTTCCCGCGTAATGTCTGTCCCAACGATGCACGTGAATTACGAGCCTTTCCATGGTGCCAGTATCTAATGCTTTCAGTAAAGAATCGCTCACAAAATCATAATCCAGAGTCAAAATGGACAATCTGATGAATGAGTTAAAAAAAAGTTCAGAATCGACTCCAAGTTCCAAAAAATCATAATTGTCAGGATCGTCTCTGACGGATGCCAAACTGAGAATCGTTAGATGTTTGGCGTGATGCTGACGTAAAGATTCTAAAATTACACCAGCGCTGGCTGTTAATTCTTCTATGCATCCAAAACTTAAGGCTTCCAAACGATTAGCTGTTTCAATAATTTTTACAAAAGGCTCTATCAATGATATCTTGTACTCGTTAATGTTCTTATCGTCTTTGTAATCGATGAAGCTGCTGCTAAATTCCAAAAATAATTTACGTAGTTGCCTGTTACAACTTAACTTCTTCAAGATGGCTAATGTGTCATCCGCAACATTGTTCGGCGTATCGCAGCATATTATAGCTTCGTGCACGCTTAGTCCAAAACTTTCAGCCAAAAATCTGCGAAAACAACGGATAAAGAAGGTGCAAATATCGTTCGGTTGATTCTGATAACGAACGGATAATAAGTTTACGTACCGAGCCCATGAAATACTGTCTTTGTATTCGAGAGAAAACGTGATTTTTTTCCAAAAACTAGGATGAAATAAAGCATACCTCCAATTTCTACAAACCTGCGGAAATTATATTCGAACGAATTATTTATACCGTACTAACACTGTTATTTTGAAAAGTCGCTACCAACGCCTGACAGTTACTAAAATAGATACACGAAAGGTAAACAAAGAATAAATATGCGGTATTCGCGAAAGGAACCAACGAACGATCGGTCGAAGTGTACGATAGACGAAATAACAAAAAAAAAATATAAATAAATAAAAGAACAAGACAACCTCGCGGTTTGATTACCCACTGTGTCGGGTCAGAATTTTAACAGCTTTGGCGAAACAAAAATTCAAGAATACCTGGGAGGCTTTCAACCGACTGTTGTGAGGCAAATACGAAAATATTTCTTGTAGAATGACACTAGGCAGATTATTCCAGCATGGATTATTGTCCTCTTGCGCCATTTCTGTCGTGCGATTTGCATCTTTGTAGGGCGAACAGCTGTTTGCCTTCGTCGAAGACAGCTGCCCCTCGCACTTTCTTGACGTTGCCTTCTCTGTCGCGTCACTCTCTTCCGAACATGTTAACTTTTCAAAATATACAACACCCCCATTTCCAGCGCGTATCATGTTTTTATCAGTACTTGGTGACCTATATTCTGAACTTTCTCCACGGATCCTTCAGTTTCGGCCACCCGTTCCAACGAGGCGAGCCTTCTACGAATCAAAATAAGAACCCGACGTTTATTGCGCCCGACTCGTAACGTCCAACCTCTCCAACTGCCGTTCACATACGTACATACGCTCATACGCATGGACGCGTCAAATTCTTCTCTCTCATTGGTCAAATACCTACGCACGTCGATCTATATGTATCTCACTACGTTTTGACAATATACACAAAACTTGTGCCACGGTGGGGGATGTATTTGTGTGCTTAACGGCGCACAACTGTACAAATTTTTTTGTACCAAATTATATAAATTTTTTATTTTTCAACCAAAAGAGATATACTGGCATATACAATATCTAACTACTACAAACAGTATCTAACTACTAGACTGTTTTATTATCGTGTCAAGATTGATTAATAATTTTTGTGATAACAATAACATTTGAAAAAGATACTGTATTGCTGGTAAAAGTAATACCACGTCTTGTTAAGTGTAGACGTTAAATGTAATAGGTACGATCAAAGAATCATAATTTTATGAAATAAAAGTGTCTTCTTCGAAGGCTTGTGTAACATCGATATCGTCCGTAGTATACACTCCACACATAAATTGTCATGTAATAAATATACGTCGTACATGGATCATTATATTTAATTAATCGTACGAAAATTCTATATGATTTTTTCGATAATCTTAACACGATCGTTTGTGTTTCGCTACAATTGTGAACGCTCAAAATACCGAAGAGCATCTTTCAAGTGGAGCACGAAATATATTTAAACTCGTATATATAAATGCACATTGTTGATGTTCTGCAATCTATATTTAACTATCGCGCGCAAAACCATTTGATTGTATATATATATATGTATATTCAGTGTTCGTGAACATACCGCGAAACAGCTGTTGAAGTCAAAACGGGTTAAGATGTTAGTCGCATAAGCCGGGTTAACATGGAGCCCGCGATTAAACGTCAACGCATAGTGCTGAGCTGTTTTCCTTCCTAGAATTTGTTTCACAGATGACACAGGACAATGACGCGCACGAAGATCCCGATGATAAAATTTTTTGTATTTCTGTTGATCTTCCTACTCGCACAGAGCGCAGTATGCAATGGAAGTTTTAGGATAAATAGGAAAGCACCTGACTCCACGTCGATAGACAAAAGTGAACATGGAGCGGCCAAGAAAATTAGCGCGCAAAAAGCCGAGCAACAAAATACAGTGTTACCTAGCGGCACAGTAACAATATCTGAGGGCGATAAAACTGTGAATAATATAACCTCAAAGTCGTCGGTAGGTGTTAACAAAACTGTACATTCTACAGAGCCACGGGAAGAGGTTAGTACGTGACTCAAACATTGTTTAATTTTACAAAGTGTCTTTTCAGTTTCTTTGTTCCCACCTTTGAGTACTCCCGCTAAAATTTACCCCCGCCGGGGAAATTACGTAAACAATGTTTGTAACAGCCACACTAAATTACCATTAATATATTTTCTCAACAGAATGTGACTGAAGAACATGTAACTACTTTAAACGCTGGTGCACTAAAACGTGGTCTTTATGTGTTTGGGGTGCTAAGTGTTCTTGTTATGGCCTATATCGTGTTCCGTAGTCTTAGGTATATAATGTTAATTGAAAGATTAAAAAGTTTCCTTAACTTTCTAAATACCAAATGCTTTCAAATAACAAAATATGAATTCAAAAGCGAACATAATAGATGCATGTAAAACGGTGTTTACTTTACAGTTTAATCTTGAATAAATTATTATACAGGTTAAGTAAAACACGTGCCCAAATGGTCAGAAAGTATGGTATCCTTGCACACAGACAAGATGTCGAAATGAGACCATTACCATTGGACGAGGAGGACGATGAGGATACTACTGTGTTTGATGCCAGTAATGTTCTTGCAAATAATGTTCAACGTCAGAATTTATAAAAAAACGATCGGCATAAAGTATGCTGATCGTATCGCAACATAAGTTCTCATTAATGCAACAACTTTTCTTGTGATTGTGGTGTCTTTAAAGTATGAAACTGCATTGCAAAGACTTGGCATACACGGTTTTTTTAGTATTTTTTCATATAAAATTGCTTGCTTGCATATGTCAAATTGTAATGTCAAGGATGCATTTAATAATGCACTCGTCTTAACAAGTTATGCTTTCCAGCGATAGATGTACTTTGTGAAAAAGAAAAATGAGATGTTTTTGTGACATGTCTCCGATTCCTTAACATAAGTAAGTGATAAAAGAAAAACTTTAAATACCTGTTATTTACAAACGAATAAATGACGGGTATCTATATCTACTATTATACAAATTATATTTTACTTAGACTATGTTGTTATAATTGAAATTATACAAATACAGATTATCTCTATTTTATTTAATGCTACACATTTAATAAACATTATGTACTAAATATAATCGTTTAAATATCTTGTTTCGTTAAATGTAAATTACATAACACGGACGAAAATTTAAACTTCATGTTTTAAAGTTAGAGAAACCCATGTTGGGTTGCATGGAGAAAGACATTAGCTAGTCTACGCCTTCCATCTTGCGATTCGATGTTTGACAATGTCCATACGTCGGCTATGTCGACTTTAGTGTCATTGCTTATCAGAGCATCCAAATCAAACGTATCGGATTCATCTAATAAGCTAAGCGGAATTATCTCCATTGCAAATATTGCACCAAAGATAAATTGTTCCTTTACCTGCAATGATTTCACTTACATAACTCTGCAAATCTTGTTAAACAAAGATTATATCAGATTTTATAGGGAAATATTCACCTCGCTCATAAATGTATCCCATGAATATAGGCTTTCAGGATTCGAACCAAGTAAAGTAATAGTATCGGAAAGCTCATTGTAATAAATCTTTAACAATTCATCAAATTGTTTGTCCCAAAGTGTTTTCTCTGTACAAGCATAAATGCAAGTCGATAGATCTACAATTGGGCTTGCACATCTTGCTAACTGAAAATCGAGCATCGTAGCGTGGTTTTCGTCGACTTTCCGAAATAAAAAATTTGGAGCCCAGCAATCACCGTGACATATAACAGATGTTGGTTGATATTTACGATTACAAAATTCAGCAGCCATGTGATATAGATCACCGAATTTATGAGAATTATAACGTTTTTCTGCTTCACTGCCAGGGTATTCTATTGCTAATGCATTTTTAGTAATATCCGATATCGTTTTCTATAAAGAATAGCTAAAAATATCATTTATAGAAATCTCAACTTTATGATTAGCAATGATTGTTAATCTTACATGAAATCTCTTGTACCAATTCCAGTGATCTTTACTGAAATATGTTTCACGTAAGTTTTCCATTAATTCTGTAAATTCTTCTTTTTTTTGATCTTTGTATGCAAAAGAAATTGCATGAAACCTTGCTATGGTTTTTAAAATCACTGCACATTGATCTCCATTCATAGAATTTTGTCTACTTAGGGGTTCATACCCCAAAAAAGTAACATCTTGCATCGCTATATAATCATTTTCTCCATCCATACAAGAAGCTAAATGACGCGGTGTATATAATATTTTTTCTTGTCCCTTATCTATCAAGAATTTTTCAAATTTTGGAATCACCTTAAAGGAATGCATTTAGATTAAATTTGCAAAAATTTGAACAAAGTAAACTAATAAAACAACTTACTTTTGTATAGAACATAATTTCGTTTTGAAAGAATTCTACACTTCTAAATGTATTTCTTCTCCCTACATTTTTTGGCAGTGATTTCACTACCAAATAATAAAAGTCCTTTTTATCGCCAGTAATTCCAGTAACTTTAATTTTATAAACAGTTGACAAGTAGTTGTCACCCTTAGCATTTGCTTTATCAAATTCCCATTCCCATACATGTGTTTCTCCACTTTGATATTCCCCATTTAATTTAGTAGAAATTATCTTTCTTAATGTCTCCTCTGTGAAATGTTCACTCACATCCTTCAGTTTTGTGTAATCTTTACGTATATCTACCATAATTCTTGGAAGTTACTACATGAATTAATATATTTTATTACGAAATGTATCGTTTTTAATTATTAGATTTTTATTCATTTTTAACTTACAAAATAGTTTATCTTGCCTTTATCAATGATTTTAATTATTAGTTTTATGACACCTACGCGATAAGGGATCTAAAATGTAATTATCTTTGACTTTATCGAAAGAATGCTTAAGTATATAATGATTAATTCTTTGTGATATAATATTGTAAGTATATATTACTTTGTAAAAATAGTGTTATCAAAAATAGGTAATCTTGATTTTGTGAAAAGAATAGATCGGAACGTTTATAGCAAATGGAAAATGCCACGTTGGCGATGCCTTGGCGTTTAGAAATATCAAATAGATATCTACATTCGATATCGAATTTCGATGCAAATAAGATTTTACTCTTAAAATTCATACATTTTTATTTACAGTTTGGTTAACAAGTTATAAATCAAACAGCAATAAAAGACTTAGATTAACAATTGTACATTTTGAAGAATCTTGCTCTATCAATACATTTTTCATACAGAAAAAATTGTTTGAAACAATTTGGTTTCTATCGTATATAAATACATTTTATGTAAATTAATATTTGATTTCTTATCAGAAGTATTAAAATGTTTTAACAGTAGTGCCCCTAAATATCTAGGGATTTTGTCTTTAGAACATAATTCACGTTAATAAGTATAAAACTACATGGAAACTGAAGAATATTAATTTTTTTTATTTGGTTGAAAAAAAGAGTCTTGATTGGTGCCAATATTCGTGACTTTCTCTTAAAGTGATCAGAATTAACATTACTTGTTGTAATCAGCATAAACAAAGCTGTATGAGATCTGAATTAGGCTTGGTAATTATATTTGTAAATGAAGAATTTCATTACAAACATAATAACTGCTACAATTAATTTGAAATAGCATGAAAATATACTATTCGTGTTGTGTATCATTCTTTTGCAATATATCATGTCAATATGTCGTTAGTTTCATGGTTGGTAGAACTGCATTTTCATGAGGCGCGATTTTGCAAAAAATTTGCATATTTATGAAAATATTCTTTTATATATTTATTTTGGACGATGTACTTTGATGATTTATCTACAATATGTGTCTAAATTTATATAATTGCAAAAAATGAATTAATATTACGTATCTTAAGTCACGATGTGTATAATATACTTATTTATTATATATAGTTAACTAGAACTGAAAGCTTACGTTTTCTATAGAAATTGATGACGTAGAATTTTTTCCGGAATCTCGATTTATTGCATCACCTATCGTAACAAAATCAATATCGATAGTTCGTTAACCACTTTATTAATACGTTTGTACACTTTTAACGCGAATATGTTTCAACGATCGATCACTTTGTATGATCTTCTACAATGCTTAAATGCCAATTACAGTAGCACAATGAAATAAAAAATATCATATCACGTTCAATATCGTTTGTTTGTTCGTGACTTGTGATAATAGTTCTATTCAAAAAGTCGCTCGCGTATCTAGACTATTTAGAAGGGAGAGTGCCGCGCATGCGTCCGCGAGGCTCACAGGACGGACGTAGAGGACGTACGCGAGCAGTGTGCCGGGGAGCGAAAAGGAGGGAACGACAAGCGAGAAAGTAAGAGAGATCCCGCGCAGAAAATTAAGCAGAAGACAGTGGCAGCCATTTTTCCTGACATTGCCGTTCCTGCGGCTCGTGGTGCTAATTGTCGTTGGGTCCTCGAGTGATCTCGAGACGATCGGCTAGTCGAGGGACGGTGCTCTAGTCGGGACCGCGGTATTGTTGTGCGCATCGAGATAAAGGCGACGCGAGATAACGATAAGAGAATTTAGACGTCAATGGTACGGCGTGGCTCGAAGTGACGAGTGCGTGTGTAAACGATTCGCAGAAAGTAGTGGGGCTTGCTCGTAGTTGGCTGAGTGGACAGCCGAAAAGGAGGAGTTGCCGACAACGAGAAGGGTGTTATAGGAGGCGACAACGACGGCGACGGTGACGACAACGACGACCACGACGACAACGACGGCTACGATACGACGGCGGCAACGATCGCGGAAACGGAGCTACGGCAGCCCAGCCTAGGCGCCCTTATTTCGTGGTTTCATCCCTAGAAACCTTCCTCGAACGGGAATCGTTAGTATTGCACAGTGCACACAGTCACGCGCCACCGCGTACATCAGCGCCACGAGATGGAGAGGCGAGCTGCTTTTGTGCTGCTGGGGATGCTATATTTAGCGGGCACCCTCGTCACGGTCCAGGCAGGTGAGACTTATCCTCTCTTTCGGATTGCCCACCATTCAGCCGTTCATTTATTCGTATATCATTCTCTGTCCTTCGCCATCGTACCTTTTTATCGTTTTGCTGGTTCGTCGTGTTGTCAAATCGTTCACGAAGACGAGACTTCGTGTTGTCTTCTTTTCGAAGGGAAGCCTCGTTCCCGAGACAAAGCTTTTAACTTTTGGACATGGACAAAATTCCATACATTCTCGTTTCCACTCTGTTAAAGATTCGTCCGTGTTTCGGCAAAAGAGTAACCATCGAGGCCGATTTTCCGATCGTAAAACGAACGGGGAAGGTTAATCGCGATGCATTCCTGGGAAAATATTCGTTTCGATCGTGGCTCGAGATTCTTTCGTTCGTTCGTACAAAATGTTTAGAGGATACTATCACGGCGGTCTTATTTTTCGTATCGAGTGCTCGAGTCCCATTGTTCTTTGTCAATCTCTGGAAATTCGGTAGCAGTGTGACGTAGTTGTCACATGGTATCTTACACGCAACTTTAGGGTACGCGGTATAATTGCCAAAGAAGTAATTTTACAAAAATTGAATATAGTTATTGTTTCGACGAATCGACTACCTTTTTAATGTTTCCCGTTCCAAACAGGAACCGTTTTCGATATTCTACATTCGTGAGCATTCCGTGTCGAAGCAGACGCATCTTGACAGATTATGAATTTCTATTTTTACTTTTGATTATATCGCATCACGTTAGAACGTGCGAGTGGCCTCGCGCGGTGTAAAATACTCGACACTATCAACCATTTTCAACATGGTTCTCTCGCGAATCGTCCAAAAGTTCAAACAAAGTTCGAAGAAAACCGAGACCTGGAATATTGTTGTTTTACCCTGATTCGATCATTATCGTGCATTCACGGCGTTCGATCCCAACACGATATGTGGAACGCTTAAAGTATCACGTGTGTGCTGTAACCAATCATTTTATTTGCACGTTCGTGATCGGCTCCTGGAGCCATTATCATCAGCATCGTGCACACGTTTGGATAAATACATCGTGACTGTCGGTAGAAGTCGCAGCGGCGTTCGCTTGAAAACCAATTCCAATTATATCGTAGTTTTAACGCCATTTTATTATCTCGTTAAAATGTCTTTTTAATGCGACTCGAAAGTGTATCGGTTGAATTTTCACCCTAGCAGTCACGCAAGTTGCGCACCCCTGGTTCATACCGACGCGAGACACCGGGATTCGCTCGCATTCGATGCTGCAGCTACATTCCGAGAGACGTACGCAAAGTACCCACGCCAAGCAACTTTTGTTGCGTAACAATTGACCCTATTTTGCGTCCACCCAGAAAACTTTACCAACTTTTAACGATCGTTACACGGAAGTTCGCGTTCTATCGATAATTACGTAAAACTGCGAAATTCTTGCGCGATAGCATTTATAGTCTGGGTGGGTAATACGCAAACATTCCGCGTTCTTCTCTCGACAACATTTACAGACCGATATACATTTTAGTGCTAGAGTCTGGCAAAAACGATCACCGGGGAACATCTATTCTACTTCACTCGAACGTTACCATAGCATCTGAGAAGAATTTTCAAAATTAATTTTAAGGAAACCGTTGAACCGAAGAGGTGCACGCACCAACTGTGAAAATGTGTCGCTCGAAAAGATTTCAACCTTTCGTCAGAATACTTATATTTAGATCAGTGTCTACGAACATAATTTTCATTTAATCCCCGCTGTGTTATGGGATCGGAGATAGTCGTCACAGCGTTAGCGTATATATTTTACGATCGTAGGAATTTTTCAATCCACAATATACATGGACTGTGTAGGTATTTTATATATTTATATAATTGTCAGGATCAGCGCGCGTCTTTGTCGTTTATATTCTTAGCGCGCGTGCCTTGTTTATTGAAATGTAAACTTAACCTCCATTCTCTAACACGGTGAATGTTTTCATCCGCTCTGTTTTGCCGTCGCACGCAAACCAGACGAGAAGAATGCTTACGTTTAACCCTGGGAGCGCGCGTCTATTTTTGGCCCTTCAGCGTGTACCATAAAATAATGCAACGTTGGTAACGCCATGCAAACTTTAAAACATTCGATTTTTTTTTTACTTCCTACCATTCTTGTCGTTGCGTTTCGCGACATTTCGTTTACGTTTTCCGTGTTTTCAATAAATATTTCGATAAAGGTACAAGAATGTATCGACACGGCGCGTCTGTGTTCCGCATAGTCGATGGACTTATTCGTCGTTCCGTCACGAGCGAAATTCGCAAGTATAAGGTCGAGTATTCGTCCTGGATACGGGGCATTATTTACGACGGATCTTAAATCAACGGATTTTAATATTTAACAATGCGATCCCAGAATAGTGCGACCGGGAAATCTTGGCGTCGTAACGACGGCTGAAAAATTTCGGTTCCGTTAAGAGGTTAGTGTAAATATCTCTCTGTGTGTATTGTTCGAGATAGCAGGGCACACGACTGCGCCGATCGATTCCGAATACGTTTTTCGCCAAGTCCGCTATCCCGTCCTATCCGTGGGACGCGAAGACACGAACGGTTTCGTGTGCCTTCGATCGACTGGCTAGCTTTCTTACGTTATCCAGCTGGTATACAAAGCGGCGCTAGTGACCCTCGCGGACTAACTAGGCCAACCGCGTTTTCGGTTTATTCGTTCGTGGAGTATATCGGCTGCGAAAATTACTTTATGCATCACCAAAATAAATTCATTAGAGTATCTTTAGTTGATTACATAACTGCCCGCCGGCTGAAACTTTTGTCCGTCTTTCTGTATTCTAGGTCTGGGTTAGGTCTAGGTTAGAACTGGTTTCGAACGCAAATACCAGTACAGCAGTACCTCCATTATCCGTATCCGAGTAAAGGAATTTTCTGACAATACATTGAACACTTAGTTTTGTGAGATTGATCATTTTGTATTGCAGGTAAAACAGTGTAAACATTTTCTTTTTTCTTGTACACATAAAAACATTATTGTTGATCATTCTTAGATTTCAGTACATAATTATTAGAAATCGGAATTACACGCTTGCAGTTGAAACACGGTTGGTAATAAAATTGCCAATCGGAACGTTCGGTACTCCCTATTGGTAGAGTGAGGCGGCCACCATTCTGATTCTGCCAATCAGAAGCCTCGTCTCTTCTGCCGCAGGCATCGAAGTACTAATCCGGATGAAACTCAAACCAAATTCATTACTTTTTACTTCGGAATCATGAATCCTGTTTAATATTAACAACAATTATTTACAGTAGTATCGACTATGTTCAGTGACCGTGAAGTATATTAAAGGATGAAGGTTACCAATAACTACCCTCAGCCTACAATTAAACGTTGCTCGTGCCATGCCCTGAAATTATAGACATTAGAAATCACGAGGAGAATAATAGGTAATTAAAATTTATTTTGCATTTAGAACTGTTTAACTGTCGTTATTATCTAGGAGACTCGTGCAACTAAGATTTAGTTTGAAGTTCTTATCTTTCTGTCTGGCATGTTTTGTTCCTTTTAGAAACGTCTTCCGGTAAACAGGGAAAGATAATGCGCTGTCGTTAACGCGTTACCCGTTAAAGGAACGATAGCACGTCCGTCGAGGAAAAAATTACGGCGATATCGTAATGGACTCGAGGATACGTTGCTACTCTGTTACGACGCGGGCTCTAGCAAGTTGTTTATGGTGAATCATGCGTCCAGTTGATGCCCGACCTTTGTTTTCTCGGCTGGCAAATACCGCTGTGACGTGTACCGACTTCTCTGCACGCTATTGTGCGCGCAACGTTGTAATTTTACCTATTCGTCATCAAAACGCCTGGGTCGCGATGGACGACGTTTCGCGTACGCGCCTGTCGTCCTACAATTCACCGTTCCTCGAACAAGACACTCCGTGTCTCTGGTTCAAAGCTCGGGTGACCGTTCTCGGGCCACAGATTTTTCCATTGTTATCGTATCTTCTCCGAAAGATAATATTACCGAGTCGGGACCGAACTTCAAATTAGAAGCTACCGAAGAGTAAACACGACACTGCTTCTTCTTATCTTCGCTTAGAATAAATCTATAACTTGGCCCATTTTCTTATCTATTGTCGTATTCTGAAATTCGTATAGAATCGTTAAACTTTATTACCGGTTGTGCATCGACGCATAAGTAGATGGAGTCAGCGTGTTCATTTGATGTCATCTACCGGTGATTCAAACTCCCACTCGTTCAAATCGCGTTGAATCATCCAAGGATCTTAATGCATGTTGACATTGTGTGTTATTTGTGTAACATTGTCGCACAGCTGTCTTTTCGCGGGGGAATGTTTTTCAGGTGTCAATGATGTACAGTTACGTGGAACAGTCACTGTTATTACTGGTCAGGAAGAATGCTCTTTGATAGTCACGTAAGAAGCACGTGTGTTAAATTTTTTGTGTTGTTTGAAGTCGTGACAAAGTTGTTGGAACCCTGTAAACACCGTACCTGGAAGGATTACCTACCAATCACGACATGTTCACTGTCCATGACCCATATGCGGGTCATAGCGCCGCGTTATTGAGTACACCCCCAAGATGTCGGACAGTGAACGCGTTAACACGGAACGAAGAACTAGTTTTCTTCTCGTTTGAACAAATTTGACAGATTTGTAACGTGGCAATTTTATTCCCAGGTGTGACTTAATCGTCGCCGCAGGAACTATGTTAAGTTTACTTTATTGCAGAAAAATCTTATCTGTTTTCCAAGGAAACGATAATAGGTTATACCGGCGCGACTACCGAGGAAATTCGAGAAGAAAAAGAACAGGTCGAAGTAAACGCTGTTTTATAACGCTCAACTGCGAAGTTGCTTGCTTGTTGATGCTCACATTTTGATGTACAGTGTCTCTAGTAATTCGTGGATGTTACGGTGACGTTTAAATAACAGTCGAGCCAGTCTTATTCGTTGACTATTTTCAAATTACTTTCATGAAAACGTTTGCGTGAAATTAATGTGAAAGCAGTCAATTAAAAAAAACTGA